TGTAAAATTAGTTTATAAGCACGAGCAATGTAATGCACGTACAAATCTATGTTTTCGATTTCATTTTTATTGGTTTTGTTTATTTGAAAATCGATACCCATTTAAAGTCACTACAAAGTTAACACAAATGTATATAGTTTACATGACCGCATGGATACCTACATACATAGTTCATAAATCACATTATAATAAATTATTATTATGATAGGTTGCGTTTTACTAATAGTTACTTTAAATAATGCGACAAAACATTAGGAAATCATATTTATTAAATTATACTTAAAGTAAAGATCAAATAATTAAATATTTTATCTTATTTTATAAACATTGCACAATTTATATTACATCTCAGTGAAGTGTTAAGTGATGAATTTTGTGAGGAGGCATTGTCCAAAAGCAGAGATAATTTTGGGAGTATTTTAATTCACAGTTATAATATTTTTACTATTGAATTGTTAAAACCAATTTAGGTCAATGGAAGGAGGTCTTCGGCCCCTTATAATCCGGCCTCATTACAACTCCTTAAGTTCTTTATCCATATAGATTGCATGATTGATTTGAGTATTGTATATATATCAAAATAAATTGTGTATTTTACATTAACAGTTACAGATCGATGCTACATTTAATAACCTGACATACGGTATCATTTGTATATTTTAATTACATCAAGTTTAATACCCATGGATTTTATGACTTTTAATATTATCACAATAGTTTAATTCTTTAAATATTACCGTTTTAATAAACTGTTCTATTGCTGAATTTAGGGCGGATTGAAGGTAGTTGTGTGGACAGATGTGTTTCATAGTCTTTTTACAGCTGTTTCAATAATTATTGTAATCATCTTGGGACTTATACAAACCGGAGGGTTCGCAAACATGATCAGAGCCAATCAAGAAGGGGGCAGAATAGAATTTTTTAGGTATATATATTCAGCTACTTTTTTTTATAAATTTAATTTTAAATATTCGTTCATTTGATTAAAATACATAATAAGACTTATGTACATAATAAGACTAATGTATTTTTCGTGTTTTTGGTTTGTTCGAAAAATTAAACGGTATCTAAGCTATGTATATGTCGTAGCCACTTGATGAAATTGATCTTTTCATGAAAAGATGACCATTTCATGAAATGGAAACAGATATTTTACACTTCTTGAAGTTCGAAAATATTTCACAATATGGTTACTTTTTCATGAAATGGTCACACTAATTTAATATCGTGTAATTTTTTCACAATGTGGTCGTTCACTTTGTGTACTGAAAATTGAAATACAATATTTATTACACACGTAAATGTACTAGCTTTAATAAACATAAATGTAAGTTATTTTTGTCTAAAGAACACGTAAAGTTTGATTATATCCGTTAACTAGGTAGGTATACGTGACACGTGTCCATATAAAATAAAACAAATACTATCTTTATTTTATACGACTATTATACTGCAATTACCGGACTATCCGAAATGTGTAGATAATATTTTATTGGTTTTGATAAAAGTCATAATAGGATAATGTCATACCAGTATTTTAGTTATACTTTGATGCTCAAGTTTTTAGTATTTGCTGTGTGGATCATTCGATCGTATTCTATTACAATTATCTACTGTATTCTATCTCTACATAGTATATTAAAAATGGATAACTTTAATGAAAAAAACTGAGTTTTATCAAAAAATGGATAAATATTATTTGGATAAGCCTGGAAAAAAGCCATATACATCTGAAAAAATCGAGTCGATAATTATGGAATTTACTGACGCTTAATTAACGTAAGTACCTACATATACATTATACCTACTAAGTTTATTTATTTGTTTTCTTATAATACATAGTGTAACTCGTCTATTTGACCAATCAACAAATGTAAAAACTCTTTTTTTTAAATTCCAAGATATACTTTATAAATAAGTTATTAAAAACAATTTCAGAGTTTAAAACTTTGAATTAGGTAAAGTCATTGATTTTTTAGGACGAAATAAATTTGAATTTTTACAAACTTTGAAAATTGTTTAAATTAGTGTGACCATTTCATGAAAAAGTGACCATATTGTGAAATATTTTCGAACTTCACGAAGTGTAAAAAATTTGTTTCCATTTCATGAAATGGTCATCTATTCATGAAAAGATCAATTTCATCAAGTGGCTACGACATATATATACATGAAATGGTTTTGTTTCTCGTTTTTTTTTTCTCAAGTTTCCATCGCATTATTATTACCACAGGAAAGAACAGTTTTACATAATAAGACTGATTTTAAATTGTATTTCACTTAGGATGAATCCAGATCCATTTTTAAGAAATACATTTTGGACCGTCTCCATAGGTACGACGTTTCAATGGCTCACATCACTGGGAATTCATCCAGGAGCTGTACAACGTTTCGTAGCGTTGCCTACGTATGGAAAGGCTCAGAAAGCTGCGATTTTCTTTGTTTTCGGTATGGGTGTCGTAAAAATCTTGACCAGCGTTGTAGGAATGTTGATCTACTCCATTGCGTCTACATTGTCATTGCTAACCACTGCTATTTTTATTAGAGCAAACGGGGACCTTAAACGTAAATATGAGGTAATTACACACCCCAGACAATATACCTTTAGAAATATTAAAAACCAAATTGATACACTAATTTAATCTAATCTTATCAATTCTCATCAACAACTAAAAGATGATGAATGAACTGTAATATTTGAATGTAACCTGAGAATTTAATTCTGTAGGTAAACGTCATTTAAGAATCGATCGATAATTGTTGAAAATTATATGTATTATAAAATTAAAAAAAATAAAAATCACAAAAACAAATTTTTGAATGTAATCTAGCTAATCTCTTTCGATGCTCTTGGAAATAAGCTCACTAATCCGTGACAAACATGAGGTAGAAATGTGAAATACAAAATATTTCAGTTTGAAACGTATAGTGTTATACCAATTTTGGGTACAACTTAAGATGCTTTTGGGACATTAATTTTAAATTGTTATAGCTTTATGCCTGTTACGTAACTGAACGAAGTACCA